ACGGCTCAGTCAGGCCAGTTTGCTCAGACTTCCAATTTGCTTTTTCCAGGGCCGGGAAAAAGCAAAATGGTTCAGACTTCCAATTTGTTTTTTCCCAGGCCTGGAAAAAGCAAAAAGGCTCAGACTTCCAATTTGCTTTTTCCCGGCCCGGGAAAAAGCAAAATTGTTTCAGATTTCCAATTTGCTTTTTCCCAACCCGGGAAAAAGCAATCGGAAGTCTGAAGAGCAATTGTTCTTGCAGCGTGGCCAGGTCACCAACATGACTTGCGCAGACCTTTCGCAGGACCTTCGCGAACCTTTTGCGACTGCAGTGAGAGCACACTCGAAATCAGCCTTTGAAATTCGATCACTAACAAGGAAGAGGTGGGTTTTTGAACGACGCTCATATGCAGCCAAGCGAAGACAAAAGACGGTCTTTCTGGCCCACCCTTGAGCGCTTCGCAGCGGGCGAACCCACCCCATTGGACGAGCATCCTTCTTCCGTGACCGTTTGTCGACGCCGCTTGAAGGCAGACGCAGAAGAACAGGAGAGCAGTCACCACTGGACCCCTCATGAAACGATGCCCAAGGATGAAGCAGAGGATTCGGAGTCGGACGCTGAAATCGGCGCCTTGCAGAAATCTGTTGTTGAGTTTGTGGAGCCGTCCATCGGCGGCCCAAGGATGTCCCATGAGATCAGCTTCAGCTTGGCCGCAGAAGCGGAGCCTGATGCGGCCGACAGCGAAGTCAAGTACAAGCTCCAGATAGTGAGGCGTGCCCCCTACATCCCCAAAGAGGCTGGGGGCTGTGACTGTGGAGTGAAATCTCAAAAGACCTGCCAGATGTTTGATAACATCTAGTTTCCGTCTTACCAGGTTCATCCTGTTGTTCTTTTAGGCTGTTTCTCCCAAATTATCCTCAGTCCGTTTTTGCATGCTTGCTTCTCCCAGGTTTTCGTCAGATCATTGATCCATAGTCTTTTGGTCTGTATCAGGTCTAGGGTTCTGGAAGTTGCTACCTTGTTCGTATCATCTCTGGTTTTGCAGTCTCAGTGCATGCCACAAGATGCTGTTCACAGAAAAACCACCGTCAGCTGGCATGGGCTGGTGTGGATGTGTTGAACAGCTTTCTAGCAGTTTTCAGGCAGGGAAGCGCTTTTGCGACCTTTCAAAACATTTTGAGATGTGCTGTCATTTTCAGCTCGTCGGGTCCTTGAGTTGTGTTTTGGCACCAGGGAGAGATGATCGGATGTGAGCGAAGCCAAGAAGCTTTTTGACAAAGCTCCGGTTGGTTGGGAGGATGTAATGGCAGATGGCATTGGCGCGACTGTCAAGATTCTTCAAGTTGACACAGATGACACTATCTTAGTTGAATATGAAAGTGGCCGTCAATGGTGGTGGCCGACTTCAGTGTTCCAGCAAAAGGCCGAGGACCATTATGGAAACTTTCACAGGTTGATTTGTGTGAAGGAGTAGGCATGCTCAGTTACCTGCACGCTTGTGCAGGACTCTGCCAAGCCACCTCCGCAAATAAAGGACGTCTTGAGCTTCCGGGAGTACGACCCCGTTTCAGGACAGCTCAAGTACGCGATTCTGGGTACCATTGAGGGGGCAGACACCACGGAGATTTGTTTGCTTCCCCTGCTGCAAAGTGGTGTGATCCTGCGTGATTTGCTCCGCCTCGCGCAGTTGGCCAAGGTGGGTCTTCGTGCTGTTGCCGGGACGCTGCTGGCCACCCACATCGCACGACTAACCCCCAGACTTGGGTCGTGTGCAACCCATAGACAAACCAACCAAGCAAAGTATAGGAGGGAGGGCCCCCCCCAAAGAATCGAAACAACAAGTTCTTCGGAGACGTCTTCATTTCTGCACGACTCAAGTTTTTCTATACAGAGCATGTAGTTTTGCACCTGCACCCTGGCAGGTTCCAGGCTTAGAGGCTCACGCTCATGCTGCTCGAGCATCAAGGGGCATCGGTTGGTCCAAGCTGACCCGGAGAGGTGAACTCTTCCTACCCAAAGAGGTTTTACTCGGAGTGCTGCCCGAATGCTTGGTGGAAGCTTACAACTTCTATCAGGACATGAAAGAGGAGAAAGTCCTGCGTGGGTATCCTCTCAACCATAAACATGAAGAGGAACCCTTTGCAAGCATGGACCATTGGCTCTTGGTGAGGCTTGTCGAGCGATCAGCTGCGAAGCATACCCAGATGAAGGGAGTTCATGCCTTTGTGACCAAGATCATGAAGTCTTCATGTGGCATGTCTTCAACAGCCAAGAAGCTTGTCGACCTTGTCTTCGCAGAAGAGGGGTCTGCCGGTTTTGTCGTAGCCCAGGTCATTTCGAGGTTTGAAAACTTGTCACACTGCCTGGCTTGGTCGGATGATGCATCTTCTGCTTCTATCGATTCTGTTGAGTTGCCTAGACTTCACTTGACTTTCAAGCATAGCCATGGCAAATTGATTTCGAAGGACTTCAAAGGAATGCACCTTGTCACCTCTGTTCCTGAGAAAGTTTCGCACTTGATGCGGGGCCTTCCTCATTGCCTGCCTCTCCAGGATCAAAATGAGAACTACCATATATTGGTGCCTTTCGTTCTGAGCCACCGACCAGACATTCAATCGGATCCCTTCTCTTGTGAACTTGTGTTGGAGCGTGAGAATGAAGATTGGCAAAACCACAACACAAAGGTTTTTCTCTATGAAGTGCACTTGTCACGGACATTCCTCTTCACACCAACCACAACAGCTGCGCTGTACTTATTGCTGCTGAAATTGCAGCATCGGCTGTAAGATGAGACAGCGCGCTTGATTCCTGCCATTGCTGCTGATAGCAGGCACACTTGCAGAGCCTGAAGGATCAGCATCCAGATGCATGTGCTTGCAAAGTGAAGATTGGAATAGCCACAGGCGAGGGATGATCAAAGTGATGTCCGGGCTTACTTGGGCACGCCTCAAACCCAACCAAAATCACATGGCCTTTTGGCATTAACCTGGATCCCTAAACAAGCAGGGTTGAGATTGTCACCCCGGGAAAAGAAGCAACTTTCCACCCAAAGACCTTGAAGTACGACGAGACATGGCATCCAGCTTCTCCATTAGGTTGGGCCGGAGTTTCAAGCCTTTGATCGTGACTTAGGTGATGCTGGCATGCAGCTTCCAATGCGTCTGGACTTGGAAACGGCGCTCTATGTGCAAAAGTTGCAGCACGTTTCTGCCACATGCCGCTTGACATTGGAAGAAGAGCAGCGGGCGTTACAGCTCATTGAGGATCAAGACCACCGCCTGCAGATTGCGCGCCAACACTTAGAGTCTGTCCCAAAAAAGCAGTGGGCTGAAAAGGTCGAGTGCAAGAAGTTTTTGGCCGCGCTGCAGGCCTTGCTGCGATCAGCATCCCTGCCGGTGCATATAGAGGATGCGAAGCAACTCCTGGTGCAATCAAGTGATTGGAAGCACCTCCCTCCCGACATGGTTGCCACTCTCTCCAATAGACGAAGTGCCTTGGAAGCTCTTGGAAGGAGTCCCCAAGGCACTGGCCTTGCTCTTGAACCATGCCGAGCCGAGCTGGTGTTGCCCGCCAGGGGCACAGGTCCCAAGTCTGCTCTTCCAGGCAGCTTGTTCCAAAGCAAGGACATGAGCTTCCTTACTCGGAGCCCTGACACCATTGTTCGAGAAATCCCGTTCAAGGCGGACAACCACGAAAAATTGAAAGTCGATGCTGCAATTGCCTTGATTTGCAGGATGCTGGCTGATGAAAAAAAGGAGAAAGACACCGAACTGAAACTCTTCTGGCTGCTTTACAGTTGCCTCACACCACACAAGGGTGGTGTCAAGGTACAAGTGAGGAGTGGACAGCTCTGCAGCCATTCACACAGCTTTGGCAGTCTGCTCTTCTTCCTTTCAGACTTCAACCGATCATTTGGGACGCGGCAATCGCTCCTGCGACTGATGATTCAGAACCAGGAGCTCTGATGTTCCCCGGAAGTGCCGTCCTTTTGTTTTATACTAGTAAGGCCAGGAGTGCCCCTTGTAGCGTCCTTGCTCCTAGTAGCGATGCCCTTTGCTCCTAGTAGCTTCTTGTTACTAGTAATGCCAGGAGCTACTAGTTACAGACGGCACCACAGACTAGTAAACTTCTGTTTAGGTTTTAATTTTGCACCACTCCACCATGGCTGTGGATCAAAGGAACACACGCAAGGTGATCAACTCCCCAAATCATCAGGTGCTGGATCAAGAAAAGCATCTCTTATCTTATCCATTTTAGCTTCATTTTCTCCTTTAAAGCCGATTGGTGACCCGGTCAACAAACCCTCACCCAGTTTGTGCACTCGCCTTGGCCGCGTTCGTCCTGCAGGAGATTTTCCTCGAAGGCTTTCCTTCGTTGCTCGCGAAGAACGATCGTGACTTTCAGCTCAAAGTCTGGGAGTTGAGCAGCGCCTGCCGGAAGTATCATCCGATGCTCAGATGGCCCCAAGGCATGGAGTGGGGTGGTGGGGAGAGATGTGTGCTTGAGGGATATCATGATATCAGCGACTAGCCACCCACATTCCTTGACGAATGGTGCGTTCAAGCAAGTGAGTTGTCTGAAACCGTGCTAGATGGATTTTGAACGGCCCAGCCCTGCAGGCACGGAATCCTTCAAGTGCTTCGCGCAAAAAGTGGAAGCTGTTCCAGTTCAGGCCGCTGTGGGCCACGGCGTTCGACCAGAGCTGTGGAGTGGAACGAGTGGAACCGCCAAGCAGGGCCAAAGCCTCCATCTTGCATGGTGGAAGCCTCCAAAAGTGAGCAACGCCAAGCAGGGCCACAGAGAACTGCTTGCCTCACAAGAGCTGGCGAAGGCTTTGGAGCATTTCAGCTGCAGTCCGCTTGATGGTTTGGAAGGTGGCCTGAAGAAGTACACTGCAAGTGTCACGGCTGAGCCCATCCGAAAAGCATTGCCGTTTCAACTTGAGGACAAGCCTGACATGAAGTCTCCTTTGTCGAAACAGGCCTTGAAGCGCATTCGGGAAGAGATGCAGACCTTTGGAGAATTACGGAGTCGAGATCGAAAGCAACTCTTGTTGTTCGTAGCTGCAATTAATGAAAATAGGCTGCCAATTCATGAGGAGACCATCGACCTTAAGTTTGCTCTGAAGGGGTTGCGAAATCATGACATGAAAGAAATGCAGAATCTGAGTGAAGATGTGCTGAAGGCCGCGTCCAATCTTGGTGATTCTCACGAAATACTTGAAGAAGAGCGATTGAGGTTTTGGCTGCTTCGCTATGCAGGTCAGGAGGCAAGCATTTGGTTTCAATTTCTTTGTGCCGTGCTTTGCAGTGATGCTGCCACGGAAGGTTTGCGGCACTTGAATCCCTTTAAAAAGCTGCTTCGCCCTCGGCAAGTGGAGTTAGTTCAAGAGTTTGCCAGATCAGCGGCGGAAGAGGAATCGCTCGTAAAGCAGATGATCATGGGAGCCGGGAAGACGACTGTGGTTTCCCCACTCTTAGGCATGCTACTGGCTGACGGGGAGCGATTGGTGGTGTTGATGGTCCCAGCCCCTCTCCTGGAGTTTGCCAAGTCAGTTCTCACTACAGTCTTTTCCAACATCATTCTCAAGCGCACCTTCACCTTTCAGATGACGCGTAGCGATGACGTCGATTGCCAGCTTTCCAAGAAGATCAGTCGGCTTCGTGACTCCGGAGATCTGGTTCTCACTGTCCCCATGGCGGCGAAGAGCCTCATGCTTCGCTTCATGGAGTCGTTGCTGGTACTGAACGACCGGAAAGCTAAACAGCGGACCCCTCAACTGCGGAAAGGCATGATGAACTTGGGGGAAACGTTGGAGCTCTTACAAGAGTCTGTAGTGCTGATTGATGAGGTTGATTGGGTCTTGCATCCTTTGAAGTCTGAGCTCAATTTCCCCATTGGCGAGAAAACGCCCATAGATTTGGCCCCCCGCCGCTGGGAATTGCCCCTCCATTTGCTGGAGGCATGCTTTCTGGCGGGTCCTGACAGCGCTCCAGAGGAAGGCAGCATCTTGAAGGAACTGAAAGAGGCAATTGCCAGCGGCATCACCGACTGCAACATCATGAAGGAGCCCCATATGGTGCTTCTGGATGAGAAGTTCTATCATGAGATGATGAAGCCACTTCTTCTCCAGTGGTTGGGGAGTTTCCTAAACCAGAGACACATTGGAAGGCAGTTCAAAGGTATGCAGAACGGCCAAGGGCTTCAGTCTGAGGAGGTTTTGGCTTTTGTTGGCAACACTCATAGCATTTCTGCCAGCTACTACCTGATCGCCAGCAAGTATCGATTGAGTTGCCACGACAAAGAAGTGCAGTTGGGTGGCCCATACTTCTTGGAAGAGGGAGGCGATTTCGTCTTCCAAGCATCCCGCGCGTCCCGCGGCCCTGATTGTGCTCTGTGGGTTATTCGAAAGGATGGCGGGAAGTGGATTTTGGGAAGACGGAAAGGCGGAAAGCTGGAGGCATTTTGTCAGGCGAATCCAGGTGCATCGGACGAATTTCCCCTCTTGCAGTGGAAGGTGATTCATGACGGATGGGCTTTGCGCCCAGATATGAACATGGAAGCTCGAATCACTTCACTCGAAGCGAGAATGGCCAACGACACACAAGTGAACACACCCGACATGAAAGTCTTGACTTTGGCCAGGGATTGGCTGAATGTAATTCTACCGCACTGCCTCAAGAAAATCAACCGCGTGACCTTTGGACTGATGACCGATGAGCAGGTGAAGGATGCATTACAGGAGAACCCACTGATGTCAGAGACCCGTGGCAAGCTTGGTATCCCCTTTGTGGGGAAGGACATGCCATCGCCGGCAGCAGAGTTCCAGCATCCTGATGTGCTGGTGGGCTTGAGCTTTTTGAGTTATTGCTACCAAGGCCTTCGAAAGAGTGACTTGGCGGATTTGCTGTCCACCTTGTCTGATCGGTATTCGCGTGAGCCTGGAAAGCCCAGCGAGCGTCCCACCAGCAAGCTCTTCAAAAGTTGGGTGGAAGTTTCGGGCGGGAGAATGGCTGGAGAGCGGACGTTGCAGATGGAAAAAGCGGAGAAGCCGAAGTTCCGGCAGCTTCATGAGTTGGAGTTGACGAATGAGAAGCAGATGGAGGAATTGCATCAACTACTCTACAAGACTGCTGCGGTCGTTGATTGGTACCTGAAGAATTGCATCTTCCCGGCATCCATGCGTTTTCAAAGCGAGCAACTTTCTGCGAGTGGTGAAGATTTAGGGGGCAGCGTGCTTTTCAAGACACGCTTGGGCTTCTCTGGAACACCATCGGATTTGATGCCAATGGAGTTGGGTTCGTGCGGCTTTGAGCCTGGTAGTGAAGGTGAATGCATTTACAACCTCTGTACGTCGGAAGGCGGTCAATCATGAGCATTTTTGCGCACCAAATTCTTTCAGTCTAGTGTCATTCTCTTGGAAGAGTGGAATTGAAAGATGGTAAAGACATGTGACATGCCAAGACTACTATATCATGGTAGATGTGCGGCTGCAAGATGCATCCATTGTTTGTTTGTTTGTTTGTTTGGTTGGTTGGTTGGTTGGTTGGTTGGTTGGTTGGTTGGATGGTTGGTTGTTTGTTTGTTTGTTTGTTTTGTTTTGTTTGTTTTGTTTTGTTTGTTTTGTTTTTTGTGTTTGTTTGTTTGTTTGTTTGGTTGGTTGGTTGGTTGGTTGATTGGTTGGTTGGTTGTTTGTTTGTTTGTTTGTTTGTTTTGTTTGTTTGTTTGTTTTGTTTGTTTGTTTTGTTTTTTTTGTTTGTTTTGTTTTTTTTGTTTTTTGTGTTTGTTTGTTTGTTTGTTTGTTTGCTTGGTTGTTTGTTTGCTTGCTTGCTTGCTTGCTTGGTTGTTTGTTTGTTTGTTTGGTTGGTTGTTTGTTTGTTTGTTTGTTTGTTTGTTTGTTTGTTTGTTTGTGTGTGTGTGTTTGTTTG